TAGCAACGGGTTTATTGGAAACGGGAGCAGTCACATCACCGCAATGTCATCTGACTGCTTGTCTAAAAGATTATAAAATTATACCAAGAAGAGCGGATAGAAGTAAAAAAAGAGGAACTAAACTGATCTGTCAAAAGCAGATATAAATAAACAAATGAATAGAACTAATTCTAAGTAAAGTGTAACAAAATATGATAGCGATAAGGAAGTGGGAGAAAGTCGAAGCTTACCAACTAGTTTGCTCGTTGTTACCTTTAAATATCCAAGGAGAAAGCGACTATTGTCTTCTAAATTCGGAACAAATTTCTGTATGATTCATGACACGGATTCCTGTAACCTGTGGTTTTAGACTGTATACCTTCAGATAAAGCAAACACGGTGTAGTGTGGCGTCGAGTCGCTGTTGACTATGATCACCACTACAGGAGGACTATGTGCCAGTTAACCGATAAGATCCCTCGTAGGCCAAATATCAGAAGGCAGTTGATGGCTGTAGTCGAGATGTATTTGCTGGCGATCTCGTGGTATCGAAAGAATACCGAGATCGTGCCAGGTTACAATTGTGATTACTGAGTGTAACCGAATTCGTACAAGGTTACAATCAACGGAAGAATGTATGTATTTAGTACAACTAAACAGACAAGTACAGTAAAACAATCACTGGTACAATTGGCTATAATAACAATTGTTTCCATTACACCAATCACGTTCTCTTGATAAAAGTAGATCACTATAAGGGCATGCATTTAGGACTTCTTTTAGGAATTTAATAAAGTGGATGATAAACTACAATTGCTGAGGTTCATAACAGAGCAACAAACGTCTCTTGTTCAGCCTCCGGATACTTAACCTTCGTTATGAGTAATGCTGAGGAACAAAAGGGAACAAGTTTAGGGTGTTTACAATCCTCTCCATCTTTAAAGGTCACTCCCACTGTTCAGTATCGGATAATATCTAGTACGGAGTTACTCGAAGTTTGAAAATCGATGGAAGTGTATATAGGTACATATGAACGTTTTACAAGTGAATTTCTGCAAGCTGTAGAATCTATTTCTTAGTAGCACTGATGAACCTCCACTAGGTAGTACGAAATGACGGTCGATATTTACTTTAATGGTGTTCATATGAAAGAAAAATGGGGTAGGCTCCCATAAGACGGAAATGTAAAGTATTGTACTAAATAGAATTATCTTGAGCTCAATTGTTCGTACATTACATCAACGAGTTTTCGGAACTATTTTTATAGCCAATTTGGGAAAAGTACGAAGATCTTAGAGTATACGTAGTGACAGTGAAGGAATTGACGTTCAAAATGGTTTAGAAAATTTGGTTAGGTGGCCCGAACTTTGGCCTTTATTAGGTCGACACCATCATAGGCTTGATAACACGGACTGGACACAACAATATCCATCAGTAGACCGTTAATGAGACACCATGGGAACAAGTTCTAGAATAAAACGATTGAGTGGTTGCGATGCATGACCTAGAAATGATTAGAACTCCGGAAGGAATTCAAAACACCGGATAAATAGGTGGTGAACGGCGATCTACAACTTGACTTATACTCATACATTCTCCTGACTGAAGTAGTCATACCCGATGCGTATATTGAAATGCACTCACTGTAATTATCGTCATATGCCACCGGCCTATTTCTTCTCAACTTGCTTTTTGTAATCCCCGTTAATTTCACGCTCTTATTCATTCATATTGTCCAAGTAGTTAATTAATTCACTTCACACAACCTTTATATTCTCTTCGTTCTCCTGAATTCGAACTCTGTAATTTTCATATAGCAGACAATCGATATGATAACTACTGGGTCCTGAAAACGTACTGACCTGAGTGCACTTTTAGTAACACATATGTAGCTATGAAATACATTGGTAGTCGTGTTCTCGGGCGGCTAGATTAATCCTGAATAGACCCCATTAAAGCCCCGGAATCAAGTCAATAAAACAAGAAGTGAGGGTAGAGAAATCATTTGGTCTTTACAAACAAAGTTCCAACATTCAGTGTAAAATAATAAGAAAGATAATGCCAACATAAAATTAGGAAGTAAACGAATACTTGAGCTAAAGTTTTGACTAAATCTTGATCAACAATTATATACCCGGAAAGTGAAGACCCTAGATTAAGCGAAGCACAGAATTCTTGCTACAGGCCAAACAGAGGGCATGGCTCATGCGAAATAACTCCCTAAAGAATTCTGACCGTAGCTTTTACTTGTCACTGAATAGTGGATGCAAATCCCAATTCTGTAGTGATGGATAGGAGCCAGCATCCGATCAACTCAAATCATAGGAAATCTGGACGACCTGCTGGAACCATCTGATACTGTTTCATGTAATATTCTCTGATTTCCCAAAAGCCTTTGGCTCAGTACCTCATGTATATCTCATGGTGAAGGTTGGAAAGATGACTTTCGTGGCTCCTAGACTATTTAGAAAACAAGATGCTTCGTACCAAGGTAAATAGAGCACACAAAAGTTGAGGGGTCTCAACTTCACAGGGAACAATCTTAGATCCATTCATGTTTTTGGTCTTCGTTAGAGATCTGTTAGATAAAATGAGCTCGGAGGCACTGATCTATGCAGATGACGCAAAGACTTGTAGGTACTCAAAGAGTGACAGTTATTCATTTGAGCTTCGAAAGAACCTTATAACAGTCAACGGACACGCAGTAGACAATGAGTTAAAATTAACCAATCAAAATATGTCAAGAACACTCTGTCTCATTTGATACAAAGCACCTATACTCTCTATGGATTCCGCTCCCAATTGTCTTCGTGATCTCGGGCATGTAACATCGGATGGCTTAGGTACCAGGTCAAAATATATGGGAGATGCAGCCGACGCAAACACAACTCTCCACCTTGTGCGTAGACAATTTAGCACAACCACTCAGAAAATATTCCTGACACTAGTCAGAACGCACGCACGGACCCATCCCAAGGTTCGCAGTGTCTTTGCGTCCCCTCTGCCTAGAAGAGATATAGATCTCTTGGATCGAGGACAAAGACAAGTAACTAAGTTGGCGATGTGTTTAAAATGTTAATCTTACGAGGACAGACCCCAAAACCTGAGATTATTCTTGTTGAGCTGCAGGGGAATATGAGATGACCCGATAATAACCTACAATACAGTAAATATGCTAGGCCACCCCGTCACGAAGATATTGCCAGAACATCGTCATCACGCCGATCAAGACAGCCCTCGAAAGATTGCATGTCAAGGAGCAAACGACCAGGTTCGTTTTCACGTTTCCTGACTAAGAGTTGCCCCCATTTCAGAGTATTTTACCCAGCAGAAGTGACCATAGCTTCATCACTGGGTAGCCCTAAGAGGAGATTTGAAAAACACGTTCTCACTCATGATTTGCCATCTCCCCCGCAGACCGGCTATGTCCAATGCATGTCTCATAAATTACCACAGCAATCATTACCGCACATCAGTAAATACTTCATACATCTCTTATTATAACCTGCATCTTCACTTCCATTTTATGAATTCCATCCCCTCTCACATTACCAGCTAGTTAACCCATTTATTACTTTTGGAAACATTATCTCCTCTTAGCACGTCAGTCATCGCTTTATTGTTTTTACAACCAACCAACCACCTTCCTGGTAACGTGATGACAACTAATATCCAGAATTCCTACTCTCCTGATACAACCGCACTCACTCAAACGGTAGGATATACAAACCCACAAATAATTAACAAACTGGTTGAAATTAGTGCAGTTGAGTGGCTAGACTGCAACCCCTTGGACATTGCCATAAACCTGAAACCATACTGAAGCAACGGGAAGCGAGTGTAAAGAGATTACTTGGTTTATATAACTTCGTGGCAAAGATATTGGAGTGCTTTTCAGTAAGACATATCTGATCTGGGAGAAAACAGGCGTTCTGGCATTATCCAGTAAGAACTTTGGTTGTAGCTGCACTGGCGACTTGAGTACTTTTACGAAGGATTTGCCAGTGCGGTAAGTCTACTCGTGCTGCTGGCTGCTTGAGGAATACATTTCTTCGTCCAAACTTCGACTTTTCTCTCTAGTTAGCGGGGCTGGGACGCATCGGAATGGCTAACTTACTGGTCTTTGGTCACAGAGTCTTTGTTCCGTTCGCATACTAGGTGAACTCGTAATCGCTTCAAAAATAGCAAGACAAATACCGAACTGTATAACATAAACATGAGAAAATTCCCTCGAAACAGAGAAATATCACTGGATGTTGGTGGTCGCAACTTTAAAGTCGTACTCGAAGATCCGGATAAAACCGTCATCGTCCCATCAGAAACTAGATAAGAGACATTCTCAGCTATAGGAGACTATGAGTATGGGTAAACGAGGTATTATCAACATGGTATTTTATAAAAAGTAGCGTCCTTTAGAGCAAAATGATTGGGCCTTTTCATCTTTATGCTTCATGTAAATGACCTACCAACAGTAACAAACCAACCTATTCTATTCTTTCTCGACGATTTTGAGACCTGATTAAGAATATTGTAATCAAGCAGCTGGTCTCTGTTTCAAACATGAGGCTAATATGCTATAAAGAGTTCAGTAAAGATGAAAAAAAGTGATTAAACGTCTCAGCGATTTAACTTATTAAAAGAGACTGACTCACCGAACTATTTTCGTTATCTTACCACAAGTTATAGAGTGATTTAATAATGATTTACCGTACAATGAAACGATGATTCTGGTACTAATATGTCTGGTCGTTTCCCTCCATCTGTTGAGAAATCCTAAGAAAGTCTGAAAACCGAGGTCAAGAGGTCTAGGTCTGGAGTTTCGTTTCTGACATCGAGTAGTGAATTACTTGGATTATCTACTAGAACATATAATAGCAGTAGCTTACGCCGATACTTTCAAAGTGAGATTGTATCTAGACATTATCACAAATTTCAAAGACTTAGATAGGTCGATTGACCTCCTATCGTTACTAATTGAGACAGATTAAGACTAAGATTAGACTCAAGCCTGAAGGTCGTCTCGATAGCGCTTCGCATGAAGTGTTTCGAAACACTTTGTAATGGTTATTTGATGAATACGTGGGTGTCATGAGACCAAGGGTACTATCGGTCGGTGTCAGCACAGAAACCAGTATAGCTGTTGATTAGTAAAATGCTTTTCATCCAGTATTTTAATTTTGCTCACGTTTTAGCGGTTGGAAAGGACTTATTGCTCTTGGCAGTTTCACCAACATACTTATAGTTGACCCTTGTTTCAGTAAAGTAACAGATTTCAATGATTTTCCTAACCTAATTCCAGTCTTTGCAGTCACTTCAGGGGCACCGCGCTAACATAGTAAATGTTTTGTGGGCTCCTGAAAATTACTATCATGATGATAAAAACCCTTTTCAATTAAAACTTGCCAGTGTTGACGCGTCTGGAGTAATAATTATTTGGGATGCTACTACGTCCTCTGCGACCTCAGAGTTTCGTGAGCCAGATTCACTCGTTTTGGGTTAGTTTTCGCATTCTGCTTACTAGTTTAGATATATTATGGCTACCAAATCAGTGGGTTTCACGTGATTTGTTAGCTGTTCTCCACTCTCGTGGTAGATTCATTATCTGGAACACACAAACCCAAACAAGATTGTGGAAGTACTCTTTTGGAGACGATGTGGTTTCTTTTTCTTTGGATATATTCTCTAATTCAAAGATGATTTGTAACTGATTTTCCACTTACTTACTTACTTCTTAAGTTTGCTCAAAGGAATATTTCATTGTGGAAAATTTCAATGTCACTTCGTGTGCCTTTGGAAATGGCAGGAAACTAAACATCTCTGAGGCTGGTTTGTTAACACTACATACTAAAACTTATAGTTGAAGGTAGTAACAAGTGTTTTGTTAATGAAATAAACTCAGGAGAAACGCCAGTAAAATTATCGTACAGTGAACAAAAGGTCAGCCCGGGGAACTCTGGAAGGTATTTAACAAAGTATTTTGGTTTAAAATTAAGTTTTAAGTGGACGACTGTCTAATATCATCAGCTGTCACATAATGAGTATTGGTCATATGTGAGGGGATGGATGTGTGCTTGGTCATAAGGTCGCGATAAATAGCATTGGAGGCCATCACATACTAGTTTGAGGAGAGCTTTCTTAAAACTACCCTGGAAAGTGTTCTGTGCCCTGTTGTAGGGGCTGATACTATGTCAAGCCCACGTAGGTTGTTCTAGCCTTCGGATAAATCAATCTATTCTTCTTAAATCACATTTTGACCTTGTCACTTATTCGATTACTAGTCCTGACTTTTTTGTATGAGCGTATGTTTTTATACTTCTTATCCTACTCATCACGTGTCTTTAACTTATTTGTGTTCGACTATAAACATCGATTGACGCTTGACTAACTTGAGTTGGCTCACACGCCTCCACCGCGCATCATTTTTGTTTAGCTTTGTTTATTTGATCGTCTGTCTGGATCAATGATTGTATGAAATATACGTATACGAAATCCATTCTCGTATTTGGAGTATTTAATTCCGTTTTTCACAAACGAAATTTAAGTCGATTATTATATATGAGGATTGACGATATGTATAAGTCGTTAACAAACAGCAAACGATCTACTTGAAGTCAAATCTGGGGCCACCAAAACCACTACCTTTTAATACAGTCTTATTTGATCTTCTTAACACGCTTTGTTATTCATCTCAAGGTTTAAAGTACTCATTTACTAGTCAAGCTCTACAACGTGCATGACCTGCAAATCTTTATGTAGGAGTGGCAAGGCAATTTATGAGGCTGGTGGTCTAAAAGTGATTAAGAGTAGTCAAACGATAAGCTAACATCTATCCAAAAAGTCAATGACTACTTATGGGAGTCTTGTTGGAAAGGTCATGTATTTTGGTTGGTGTTAACAAGATAATTTTCGACTATGGTTGAAGACCTTAGATGACGGCCGGAACCTCACGTCTGGGTAAGTGGCTTCGTTCCTCGACTTATTTTTTCCTAGACAACAGTACTATCCCGAAATTTATATTCTTTAATTTCCCTTATTTGGCTTTTGTTCGTATTTGGTTTTCTGCTACTTTCTGTATCGTTATTTTAATTCATATCCTTGCTCCTATTTATTCACTGTCTTCGTAAGGTTATAAGGTACGGCAACTGCAGTTAGTGGATATCTACCTCACGTTGTTAGTCTAGCATTTATTTTAATAAATAAGAAATAGACAATATATAATTGTTTCGACTATTGATATTATTAATTGCTTAGTGTGAAGAATTATTTTTCGTCATGTAACATAAGCAAGTGAGGTCAGCATTCCCTAGTCCACATTTGATGTATCAACAGAATGGCTTTGAAGTTGCTGGGTTAATGGATAATGCTTGGCTGTTTATAAGACAAGCAATGACTTTGTTGTTTAAACTGCGAGTAAAAGAATTATTTTTTTCCGATTGTCTGTGACGTGTATTCACATCTTAATAAGGAATACTGAATTTTATGATATTGCGTGTTCCCGCGGTAGGTTATTGAATGGTTAATGTTAGATACTACTCATATCAAATGATTACTAATCTGACTAAATAGATCACATGAAAAGTAGTGTACTCACATGTCATTTTGATTAATTTTGAGGGTTACAGAAATCCTTATCATCACTCTGTTTTTCGCCATGTGTCGTCAGATCTGGAGTTTAAGTACCAAGTACAAGTCATTTAAACACTGCACACATAACAGTAAACTATTTCCACTGATATTTTTTTCTATGCACACTTTAATTAAGTTATTTGCTAGATACACATCCATACACCTGGCTTCAAACCACATTCCAAATGTGTGCTGGTGATACTTCGTGATTCACGAAACAGAAATGAGTAATGCCAGATTCAAACCTGAGACGTATTGGGTGAAAGTTGAATGTATTAATCACTGAATCACTGTTTCATCAAACGAAACGAGAGTAATCTAAAAGTTCTAAGTTAATCCTTCTGTCTGAACTTAGTACCGGCTCGAACAGTTTAATTTCATAATATCAGCTCATTTGTCTTTAGATTTTAAATAATGATTTCTGCGGTGTCCATAAGTAAGTTGTTATTAGTAGCAGAAACAATTCCATTGTCAATTTCTTACGAGGAAGCTGCTGTCGAAAGCCAACTTGCCTTCGCTCTTTAGTGTTAAGTACATAATAGAAGAAAGTATATCACGTTCTTAGTTGTGCACATCTGCAAAATACTGTCCCATTTTACTTGTAGGAACATTGTATGTGAACATTCAGTTATTAAACAAACTTTACTGTGTTTGTTTTGATTCAAAGCTTTTACTATTTCAATTTTTATTCAGGGCATGTGATTCTTCGAGTGATAGTGCGAGGACAACATCTATCAGAACATGTTTGCAGGTTACTTACCATCGATATCACAAGGACTGTGCGCTGTTTGTTTTTAGGAGGGAGATTATTATTGTGAATCTGGGATTGATCCGTCCACTTCATATCATTTATCTAGATCCTTCTTGGCCTTCTTTCTCACGTGTGAGTCAATTTAATTTATGAGTATTAACGATCCTGAAAGTGATCTTTTAGTTTCGTAGTTTTGAGGCAGACCATTTCTAGGCGCCCATAAACTTAGATTTCTCCCATATCTTAGCATAACCCCTCGATTAACAGTAGTTATATTTTACGGAATGTCAAACATCTATTATAGTCCCATCCTTCTCAAATATATGAAAGCTTATCCACCGAACTCATTTTTAGTATTTAATATTCGAGAAAAGTATAAATTACTGAGTATTTCTTTTGTTCATCGCAGAAGGGGTAATTTTGATCGCTCGAAGAATCTTGGGTGGCTTTGAATAATCTATTTTTTTAAAGAAAACAACGCACCAATACATTATTTTATTTACTGTTCATCATGCTTATCACTACACATAAATTTATCACTACAGAGGCAGATATTCAATACATGAAAATTTATGAATGTATATTTGCCATATTTATCGTAATTTGTAATTTTCGTTATCTGTAAATGTCGCAGTCTGGTTGCATAAGAGCAAAATTTTGTTTTCTGAGAGGCTTTGACGTGGAAAGCATAGCTAGAGACTGTTAGAATAAGGAATATGTGTGGTTATATTTGTAAGCATATTTCTGATTTACAGGTTTATTCTTGCACTCAACGTGATGTCATCATTTGCCTACATGAAAATGGTAATTTAAGCGTATATGCTTGTCGTGGTCTTGCTTTAGCAGCAGATCCTTCTCTTCATCCTTCTCATTTACTGCGAAAACCTAGTAAAGAATCTTCTGATATCCACGCTGATAACAGCTGCACTTATGTTCTTGTTGCAACTGCTGCTTCTTCTAGACGCCCAAAACAAGTACATCATGTTAATTTTTCTGTGGACCAAATGAATGAGTTGAATATTGTCGTAGCTTCAATTGATGGGCGTTTCCAGGTAACTCTTAGTAACATTTGTAAAATGTTCATTTCACTTTTGATAGTTTTTGCTTCGTGGTTTGACGTGTTGTAACAATGATTCCTAGTCAGATCCTGTAAATCTAAAACCAAATTAATTTACGAGATAGTTTTAGTTTCTCTTGACTTATCAGATGATTGCTGCTTGTCTTGCAACTGTTCTACTTATCAATTTTGCCAGTAGTTATAAGATGGTTCATGGTCATGCAATCGTGATACTTTAGTGAGGATGGCTGAAACTGTTTCCAACATTCTCATTCCTTTATTGTTTTAACTGTTTAGTTGATTCGTATTATGAGCGGTAGCTTAGCAGTTAAAACATTTAGCTTTTAACTTTTAGGTCTCAGGTGAGAACTCCGCTCCATCTACTTCGATTTAGGCAGACGCGTATTACTGCTAACACCCAAGTAAACAGATAATTAAATCAGATACTCAAGTTTGTGCTTAGGGAGTGAGTTACGTGAATATAATTCATATTAAAGTGGAAGTATTAGTGCTTAGATTAATACACAATTTTTATGTGGAAATCACTTCAGGTGTTTATAAAGTGTAAAAGGATTGTTTACATCTTGAGACAATTATAATTATTTTTTTTCTGATTTACTTTAAGTTTATAACTTTTCAAGTCCAGTTCACTATCACATTGGAGTTAAAAGACTGAATTCATGTTATTTTTTATTATAATAATGCTTAAGCACATATTTTAACTTATAGTCTATGGAAAACTGTAAGTTTTGTTAATTATGTAAATAAGACTAGGTCTTGGCTAAAATTATGTACGTAACATTATGCAGTATACACTAAACTATTATGTAACATCTACCACCAATATACAATGAGGTTTTGAGAGTGTAGTAGTCATAGTGGTTTTATCTCAATATCCCCTGTTAGTTCGTGTGTGGATATATATCTAACCATCTATTGATTTTCAAAGTTTTGGCAACTGCGAGCTGTTCGAGACTCAAATTTTTGTGATGAAGAGGTTAAACCAATTTGGAGCCTTTCAGATCTGCTACCACATGCACCTGTTGTAGATAAGTAAGTAATACCTTAAAGTATTTTATTTAAACATTGATTACTATTTCTGTTTTAGTCACCTAATGTCTAATATTAGAATATGTACTGACCGCTATAGGATAAGCAGACAGCACTATGTTCTGGGATTATTTGTTAGAGAAGAGTATATCTTGGTTTATTAAGATCCTGAAAGGTAAAAACAAAATCACCACAGGTAGGATAAGGTCACAAAACCACTTCTCAGCTGTCTAATTCCGCCTCTCTTCTTCATTCCCACCGTTGATGTAACTTATTGAGTTCACCGAAACTCACGAAGTGCAGTATGTAATTCAAAATTGATTTAGTATAATTGAATCGATAACCAGATTTAAAACTAATATGTGCAGCCCAGATGTAAACAATCTATCCATTAAATTCATTTTCGTATTGTTTGTTTGAATATTCTCATTGATGTTTAGGACTGCAATTGATTAGCATATGTGCATCCTGTGCGGATTGCCTCGAAATCGGCTCGAGTCACAAGCATTATAAGTAAAGATGGATGGTGGCTAGCAGTGGAATCCAGAATGGGCGTTTCATCCTGTTACAGACTCGTCGGATGGATGTACCTACATCCCAGAGTTGGTGTTCCCTCCCGGCTATCTGAACTCGGTAGCTAAGTGAATAACATGATGGCATTTTGACCAAACGGTACTGGGTTCGATTTCCGGAGTGAACATCAACTCTGGGATGCAGGCACGCCCAGCTGACGGGTTCAAAATAAGACGAGACACATCCCGGATCCCACTGCTAGCCACTATCCATATTTACCTATAAGATTTATCCATTGTTTGGAGTATTAAGACCTGAAATAACTAAACTCGTTGCTCAGCTTGGATACTAAAAATTCCATCGTAAACCTAACGTGAATTGTTAAATTTCAGCGCCTTATACAATCTCAGAATGGGTCCCGAAAGTGCGGTTGGGTTTTGCCGAGTTACATCACTTTTAATGTAGGCGCTGTGTCCGTCTGCGGAATCAAGGACAAGTATGCTACTCAGAAGTTCGCTCCTGTTTAGTTTTTGGCTATGTTTATTTATTTATTTGGACACAAACATTGGTACAAAGGGGGCACCACACAGTAACAGTGATGTGAAGAGATAGAGAATGTAAAGTGCCTATAATAAAAGATAAACAACTGACAGAAATTAGTGTATGAAAGTGAAGTAATAATAATAATAATAATAATAATAATAATAATAATAATAATAATAATAATAATAATAATAATAATTGCAGAAGCAGTTCATTTAGCGAAGATACAACCAGAAAGAATTCTTTCGGATAAAGAAATTACTCACACTTATACGAAAAAAGTAAAACGAAGTTACAACAGGATCGCCACTGGTTTATACTCAGATCCATATCTGATAACGTCTCAAGCCACTGTGTCGCACGTCTCTCGGCCCCTAGCCAGGGAGTCGTGAAGGACCAACAGAAGCCGGTTCTGTACAGCATTCCTTCATACCAAGACACTATATCGTGCACTGACCACCTCTCCGCTTTTTCCAACAAATCCCATAGTCGGTAAATAATGCACGACGTGGAGTTCTTTGGGATGACATTCATAGGAAATGTCCAGGCCACCGAAGCCGATGTTTCAAGATCGTGACCAACTAAGTTATCATCGCTGTGCCCGAATACATGGTGCTGGACCTCTGCATTACTAACATGGTGTCGCCACTGGATGTCAGCAATCCTTTGGAGACAACGATAATCGGACACAGAGAATCGTTAACTGAAAGATTTCTTCTGATTGTACCTTTCCGTTCCCCCCATTATTATTATTATTATTATTATTATTATTATTATTATTATTATTATTACACTACCTTACACTAATCTGTCCGTCATTGTTCTTTTTTTTACGCTCCTTACCTTCTTTTTTTTCTCCCCGAATTCTCATTGTTTTGTGTGGCGCATATATATTTGGTGCCCTCTTGTACCAACATTTATGTGTTCAAATAGTAAATAATAACCTGGATGGGTTGAAATACCTTCCGGCAGTTACCGGAAGCGACTGTTGTTTCCAACTCGCCAGCACGTTTCGAACACTGGGCTTCTCGGTCCTTACGCAAGCTTTGCCCGATTTCATTACGCAACGGCCTTCGTTTGTGGTCAGACTCACGGTTACCCGGAGTAGACCGACGGGCTTCAATGAGTTGTAAGGACCCTTCAGAAATCAAGTGCTTATAAGCAGGACGTTTCGCGAACCCATAACTGACTGTACTCGCCATTTTCATGGCGTCATGCAATTGCAACCAATGCTCATCTATACTTTTCGGTGGAGTGGTAGCTAGCCTAGAGGCTAGCTCGGTTCGATACTAACTTGCAACAGAAGTTGCTACTAGCTTGCTAACATCAATCCGTTGGTGGCGGTCAGTTCGTTGGCCAATGAAAAGTAAGGTAAGATTGGCGCAGACCAAGGCATGGTCAGAGTCCAGATAAGTACTCCAAAAGGAGCGGCAGTCTTGCACAGAACCACGCCAGCGATAGCTGATCGCGATGTGACCAACCTGACTTCAGGCTTGAGATGCAGAGGAAGGACGCCAGGTGGCACATCGGCGATGACTGTTTCGGTAGTTAGTGCTAGCCGAAAGCAGATTGTAGTTTTCGCACAGTTGCAGTATATGGTCACCTTTATCTGACCTGCGACCAACAAGTCCCCATCGGCCACCTAAACGACTCTCTTCTGTGCCTAGACGCTTGGCCTGAGCATTCAAGTCTCCGGCTAGTACCACAATATCTGTTGAACGCACTTCCGTAGAGGGACAATTAATTGATGGTAAAACCCATCCTTAATCGCATCCGGGCTGCAGTCTGTCAGAGCGTAGACAGAGGACAAGAGGACATCGTTTCTCACACCGATTTCTTCTCACTTTGATGGAACTTTCTAATCTAACAGTAAATAACCTGCTGTTAATGGGGATCCATCCGGTCAGTGCTGCCCCAGCTCTAGCGCTAAGCGCGACACCATTGCCAGCAAGACCAGAGAAATATGCCACAGGGTCCTCAGATAAACTCACATAAAAGGAGCTTTTCAAAGTGATATATGGTGAGCGGATTTGTAGCACTTCCCACTGTATCCACTAACCCTGTTAAAACGTCGGGCATTCTTTTTTTATCCCCTCAATTTCGTAAACAACACCCCCGCTGCGAGAAGCCGATGAGTAGAACTTCTTTCACAGTAGCTGTATACGCGTGGCCATGTTAGAGCATTTCGAAAGAGAGAATAGACTCTCTCCACCCTCAACCATGTCAAGGCATTTGGTGGCTATGAAGGTAGTCCTTTAAAAATAGGAAGCATTTGTAGATTACTAGTATTGGATTATAAGTGGCTTCAAACAATTGCTCTTGTATTTTAGTGTTTCTGAGGTTAGACACAGTACTGTATGAGGATTGCAGGTCAGTTGATGAGACAGAGAATCCTGGTCATGTGAGGTGCTTAGGACACGTATTGCGTATGTCCATCTACTGGCTACCTGGATGCGTGATGATGGCTGGTGTAAGAATAAGATGGAAGTAAGCTAAGGGGTGTCCAAACCAAAAAGTCCCATCAGTTCATAAAGTCACTGACAATTCAACTAGGTCATGTAGGTAGGTGCAAACCACCTGGCTGGAGTCTGCATGATTACCATAACCAGTGGTTGGAGTCGTTGGTTGACATGGCTCAGAATCATTCTCGATGGCTCAAGTTTATTCGCTTTCCTTCTCCCCTTATATTCAAAGTCCTGAAATCTTTTTGTACTTTCTATTCTTTCGCATAATTTTTCATAATACTGTTGACAATGTTACTACTTTTATTATTTTAGCGTTTGCTTTGACAAATTTATCTCACTGTACTAATGTGGTGTGGCAAGTTGAACAGATACACGTATGTGTTGAGTGGTACGTTACAGGTTACTGACTAGGTGACTGAAGCCATCAATTCACGATTATTCGCTAAGAAATTCTAGTCTTGGTACTAATCTTTTGATATCTACCTTAAGAAGATAAACACTTATACTATACAATCATGGAATTAGGGTGATTTGATAAGGCAGTTAGGAATGTGGCGTCCCACATATTTAACAAATAATTAAATAAAATTGCCTTTATATGTGATTTTGTAAAAAGGGTAAGTAGCTTTGACCATAGTGAAAATTTCAAGGTCTAATGGTGAAATACTAACCGTTACATTTTAAGGTTTTTTGTCATGATTTCAAATGTATTTCATTAAATCTGGGTAAATTTTAGGTGAGTACTGCAAAGGAAACCAATAGTTTATATTTGAGATAATTTAACGCTTTATACGCTTGGTGTTTAAATTTTTGCTGTAGGCCTCCAATGAAGTTGTATCTCGAATTAAATGGCCTATACTCTCCAAGTAGATCAGAGCCAACACTGTGTCGCGTATGTCCACCGAATCTGATGGGACTTTCAATGGTAGACTCAATTCGTGGTCCATTAGTGTCTGTTGGGAATAATCGTGGTGACATCCAGGTGACTGTACTTTTTCAGTTTTCGTTTCATGTACTTCAATGATTACTTAGTTACATTATTTTACTTTATATGGTTCACGTTTCATTATTTAACTAGTATCTGGTACAATGCCATCGTACAATTTTTAGGAATCTTTTTGTATGCTTTCTGACTAATCAGTGTTCACGTCATATGTTTTTAACTGTGAGAAAGTTACAAAATACTCGGGTTTCTTGATTGTCCTTCAACCTTTTACTTACGCCTGTTACCCCTTGGGGAGGAGCTTAAGGCTCCCATCAGAATTATCCACCGAAAAATGTCCTGGACAATCCTTCCCAGTTCTTTCCAGTTGCCACTCATCCTTTTCATTTCTACTTCCAATTCCCGATACAATGTATTCTCTGGCCTTCCTCTTTTCTGTTTCCCTTCAGGATTCCAAGTCAGAGCTTGCCTCGTGATGCAGTTTGATGATTTCCTCAATGTTTGTTTTACCTACTTCCAACAACTTTTCTTAATTTCTTCCCCAGTTGGGAGTTGGTGTGTTCTCCCCCATAGTCGGCTGTTGCTGATGGTGTCCAGTCAATGGACATTCAGTATCTTACGCAGACAATTGTTTATAAATACTTATACCTTTTTGATGATGGCTGTAGTAGTTCTTCAGGCTTCAGCTCCGTGCAGTAGAACTAACTGTTTTGATGTTCGTATTGAATATTCTTACTTTGATGTTGGTTGGTAGTTGTTCTGAGTTCTATAAAAGTTATATTTAAGCATAATTAGATGCTTTGTTATTGTGGTGAACAAGAACACGAGTGGGGACAATCGAATGTATTTGACAGAAAATTACAGAACTTGTTAATAAAATCTAACAATCATATAGTAAATGCTTAATTTGCAAGATGTCCATCAATTGTCTTAAAATGACTCAGACTTCATTGTTCTTGCATTTTCATACAAATCACATTCTGTTTCCATTCTTTACTGTTCGATCCTCTTGTCTTTCTGCTTCCAGACATTCTGTTCCAGACTAACATCATATACTACTTATGTCGATATAAGTAGCACACATCACAATATGAGATCTACACAAGTTCTTTAAGTTACATACTTATTGTAATAAAATTATGTATCTACCGTTTAATTAACTATTTTCACGCTCAAATATTAACCAATATTTCTGTTTTTGCTTTTATCACGTAAGATCACAAATTAATTTTGTTATAATTCTGTCTTATTACAACCAAGCTATTCCTATTGCTTAGTGTTTTTAGAAACCAATTCACTCGACAAGTCCCCAAATCAGAACACGGTTGGACAGGAAAGAGATTATATTCCAAATAACAAGGTTAGATGAAAGTAAGAAGCACAATAAGAAAAACGTTAGTATATTTATAGTTTCCATGTGAGAAGATTTCTAGAGTGTTCTCTAAGTATCGACTAGCGCTGATTGGATAAGAATTAGCCAATGAGCGTGCGCCAACGCAAGCGTGCATTGAGCGTGATTTAATCCAATCTATGTTACGCTAACAAATTTACTATCCATTTACTGCCAATCATTGAAAATATAATTCATATTGTTTTAGTTTTAGTAGGACTTCCCTGGCAGAGGCTATATACGCGTGGCCATGTGAGAGCATTTCGCGAGGGAGAGCGGACTCTCCCCACTCTCGGCCGTACCAGGGCATTTGGGGGCAATCCAGCACTATACTTATCCAATGTCATCAATGAGTTATTCTTTTACTTCTGATATGGTTTACTCTACTAGTTTATGTGACACCAGTTTATAATAAAATTATCCTAATATGACAGTCGACTGGTAAGTTTAATGCAGCATAGATGAACAAACCGATAATTTGCTCATGAAACCATTTCAAATCTCAACCGAATAGATTTTAGGAGACAAAAGCACTGGCCAACTGACTGAATATACTATGAAATTAAGTTTATAACGCTTATGTAAGGTATTCAACCAAGATGTTATAACTTGTCAAGTAACGAACGACTAATCATTGATAAAAATGAGGATCACAAAACGATCAATAATTTTTTATTTCTGATTGTCATATCAGAAATGACTTTCGACTCATTCACGTTATTCGCAAAACTTTTCATTTAAAGAAACATTACTGCTGAGTGATTAACTTGTTCCAACTAGATAAATTTCTTTACTAATTCATCGCGTATTGAAGAAACTCAATCTGCATTGAATACTTGATTTCAGCAATTTGAAACGGTAAAATGAAGTTTTCTTGTTAAAAGTGGTGATAGTTGTTGCTTCATCAAAATTGACGTGTTTCTTTTGATTAAAATTGTTGTGGATGCAGAGGAATAGACCAATAATTATCATATTAAGTCCAATGGTGTCCTTGGACTTTAAGTGGACATTTTCTATTGGTCGATATCTATTCACTTGTTGAGTATTGTGCAAAATGTTGTTTTCTATTTTATGGTACGATGTGGTATGCTTGATTGGTATATAAACAAAGTGTTTGAAATATAATGATTCATATCTCCGAGGCTGTGGCTTGTGTTCTGGACTCGACTGACTGGGCTGGACAGGGAAGCAGGACCAATCAGAACTGTAGGCCGTTCGTTCGTGTTTAAGTGTCACTGTAGTCGATCGATAAGTACGCTGCTCTCTAATTTTCCAGTCAAGGACACAACAATTAGCACAGGGTAAAAATCAACCACCAACCTAAAGTCATAGCAATTGGCGACGGGGTGTAGAAGAATTTTGAACCTTGTAATTGGACGAGATTCAGGCTAATTGTTTCGACCAATCAGCATCCAGATTGTCATCAGCGTTCTTGAGCAACATTGGTCATTCTTCCTGCAGTTAATTGTCATTGCTGGTGCAGAAAAGAAAAAAATGACTATGTTTTCCGGCCAATTACAGCTTCTACTTGAGCAACAACAGCAGTGTTTCAAAAATAGCCAGTTGAATTTTTTAGAAAATTTACGCACACTGTTGGTAAATTTTCCATGTTTCGGAAATGCAACAGAAGTTGATAAGTTCATTTCTCATCTGCAGACTGATCTGGAAAACAACTGCAGAACATATGAAGCTGCCTATAAAAGCCTCTGTGAATCCCGGACGACCAGTGATGTAAACGAGAAAGTCATTCATGATCCGCCCAGTTGTCCAGAAATGTCAAATTCAGAAACATTCCCTGTCGTGGGTTCAAATCCCACTGTTCCTGAAACGTGTACAGACAGTGATGTACCCAGCTCACAGGAAGAAGATCTCTCATTAAATGCTCATAAATTAATTACAGTACCCTCTCACAAGGAAACAGGAAACAAATCGTGCAGTATACTGAGTCTAGCTGCTCCAAACGGTCCTCATCAGTCAACAACAGGAGATTCTGATGAATCTTATTATCTAGATCCTCTTGTACCAGAAAATGTGTTAGATGCATCAAATGATGGTCAGAAATCTAATACAATTTTGATAGATGTTGATTACCTCAGTGATCAACCGTTTACAAATGAGATTTTCAACAAATCCCATGATAATGTTCCAGAAGAATCAAACGTTGATGACCTCATATCAAGCGACATTGATCCCCACTATTTAATCACTTTCAGTGACTTCTCTGTTCAATCTGACAATTATGTGTTAAATCAAGTCAAATTAATTTTAACTTGGGAATATGAGGACCCGACATTATTTCGTGGGGGAGGATGAACCAGAAAATTTCAAAATCCGGATATCAACTCCGGATCTTCAAAAAAGGGGAGGTGTTGTGGATGCAGAGGAATAGACCAATAATTATCATATTAAGTCCAATGGTGTCCTTGGACTTTAAGTGGACATTTTCTATTGGTCGATATCTATTCACTTGTTGAGTATTGTGCAAAATGTTGTTTTCTATTTTATGGTACGATGTGGTATGCTTGATTGGTATATAAACAAAGTATGTTTGAAATATAATGATTCATATCTCCGAGGCTGTGGCTTGTGTTCTGGACTCGACTGACTGGGCTGGACAGGGAAGCAGGACCAATCAGAACTGTAGGCCGTTCGTTCGTGTTTACGTGTCACTGACACTGTAATCGATCGATAACACAGGGTAGAAATCGACCTCAACATAAAGCCATAACAAAAATGGTAAATTTCTCTGAAGAAGTTCCGATTTATCGTAAGGATTTTTCACATAAATGTTAGGTTACTATAAATTGTGTATTCGTTATGATGGTGTTTATTATCTATTTTACTAACAATACAAAGAATGAGTCACACAATAATAGTCCAACAAGAAGTATGACACAAGAAATAGAACCATAACGATATTGGTTGTATTCAATATTATATGTTTAGTACAAGCTGGAATTCTCAGCATAAAATGATAACATTTTAAATAAATGAGAAAAAGAATCATATAGTTATGGTAAAAATGAGACTATTGAAGATTATTGTCTAAATAACTCTACAACCAAGATAGATTCCATCCATTCAGATGTCCATTTTATCATTTATGGAGCTGATTTCAAGATGATTTGAGGACATATCAAGCTCCGACTGTACCAATAAATTTAAGAGCAACAGTGTATTTTAAATGTTAACTTATTTTCAAGCTATTTTACTTGAATTCATAATCGTCAGTCATACTGGATTGATATTGAAGCTCAATTGTTGTGCTTTATAGCATTAATAAAAGCAGCAATTATATTCTGTGACTAAATTAATATAGAAAGTATAGAGTGTAAAGGATGCCACATCAAAAGAGAATCAATTTCAGATACTGTTAGCTAACTTAGCTTAAACTTTTCATTTGATGACAATTTGGGCTGCCCTATCAAATCAAAATACCAAAATATATAATTAAGAACCATCAGTTATACACACAAAATAGCCAATAGGTATAAAAAAAAGTCGTTGATCAATTAATTAGTTTGAGAATAATGAGCTAAATCTCTATCATGTTAATAATGATATGTGCTTACACATAAGTTGTAAAAAATTTCAGTTTTAATGTTGCATATACAAATTGTAGGCAGTTAATTTGTTCAAATATCTACCCAAATTCCAAGTGATTCTAACTGGGAAACCTTCGTAGAATCTTGGTGTAATATTTACTTTGTAGATTTTATTTTGCATATCGCAGTTTTATTTTAACGTTTACTGTGAATCGATAATGTACTTAAGCGCTCATCATTGTCATAATTACTTACACCTGTTACCCCTCGTGGAGGAACATAGGCCGCCCAACAACACTCTCCATCCAACCCTGTCCTGAGCAATCCTTTCCACTTGTTATTCATCCTTTTCATTTCTACTTCCAATTCCCGATACAATGTATTCTCTGGCCTTCCTCTTTTCTGTTTCCCTTCAGGATTCCAAGTCAGAGCTTGCCTCGTGATGCAGTTTGATGATTTCCTCAATGTTTGTTTTACCTACTTCCAACAACTTTTCTTAATTTCTTCCCCAGTTGGGAGTTGGTGTGTTCTCCCCCATAGTCGGCTGTTGCTGATGGTGTCCAGTCAATGGACATTCAGTATCTTACGCAGACAATTGTTTATAAATACTTATACCTTTTTGATGATGGCTGTAGTAGTTCTTCAGGCTTCAGCTCCGTGCAGTAGAACTAACTGTTTTGATGTTCGTATTGAATATTCTTACTTTGATGTTGGCTGATAGTTGTTTCGAGATCTATATTTTCTTTAACTTTAGGAATGTTGTTCTTGCTTTGCCGATCCTTGCCTTTACGTCTACGTCTGCATCGGATCCTCCTTGTTCATCGATTATGCTTTCCATGTACTTGGAAGGTTTCACCTCTTGCAGAGCTTCTCTATCCGCCTGTAGCCCTTCTAGAGTTACTACCAGTCCCAAGCTCTGGTAAAGGAGGAGGGTTGGACATGGGGTCGGCAACCCCATCTCGTAGAGAAAAAATCTTGCTTAAAAAAACACCAACAACTATGTCATAGTCCTAATTACTATAATTTTGTCACCTTCAGTTTTTCAGTGTTATAACATTCGATATAAATATATTTTTATTTGTGTTATTTTTAGATTTGGGATGTATCATCAGCTATATTATGGCGTGAATATCGTGTACTACCGGTACCTATCAAAGGAATTGAATGGATAGCACTACCTCGAACAATTTATAAAAATAAACAAATCAGTGAAGATTCTTCGAGACCATCATCATGTGAATATTCATTAGGTTTAATTGTTCATGGTTGGCAATCCAAAGATGGTCACCAAAGTTCTCTTACTGAAAATTCATCGAATAGAACAAATACAATAGGAAAAAATTTTGTTACTACACTGGACTTATCAACAGGTTATATGCGTATATTTCGTGATATTTCAAATCAAAATATTGACAAGACAGGTCCTCGCATAGGAATCAGTGTTCCCGGTAGTCAACTTTTATCTGGATCCAACGATCAGGAAAATCTTTTTGAAGGACCAATTGACATTCTTTGTGTTAGCCACTTAAAGTAAAGAATAATTTATGGGAATCAATATTTTTACCGTTTCTGATTATTATTAGTAAATATTGAACCGTTTGCATCTTTTAGGACTCATGTTGTATAATTTTAAAGAGGAATAGATATCTTATTCTGTGTATAATTGGTTGATTGAAGGTGAGAACAAACCTTAACGTTGTCGAGTTAGCCAGTATCATAGAAATGTCTATACTGTGAATATAAATCACATTGACTAACTGGATATTAAATACAATTAATTAGCTGTTAATGTGGTATCGAAGGTAAAATTCAAAATAACTATCGTTTACTTTTCAAGTAAGTGGTAATAGATTGAATCTAGGATATTGTGATGTCAAATAGCTTGACTTGGCAGTTTCACCTTAATTCTTGGACTAGTAAAATTTAATCGGCAATAAAAAATTATAATCTTTGGGCATATTTATTTTGTAGTTTTCTGCAATTAATTCTGGAAAAAAGGATGAAACCAGCCTAAAGTGAACAATTTTTTTGTGTAAACTGCTTACTTTTTTTTCCGGCTGGCGTTTTTTAGCGAGTTAGTTTTCTACGGGATGGGGTCGCTAACCGCTCGCCCAACCCTCCTCCCTTATCCGGGCTTGGGACCGGCAGTAGCCCCCGGAGGGACTACAGGCGGAGTTTTTGTAAACTACTACGCATAGTTTGTTAACTGTTGAAATAAGCTTATAATTTAGTGAATGTTTAATCATTCCTTTTTCTTGCAGTTACTCATTTGTTGTATTTCTCTGTTTATTTGTCGTGTTATATTGTTTAATTTCTGCAATTTGTCATTTTAGACCAAATTTAAATTATATTCAATACTAAGGCTTTGAAGTATATTGTCTCTTCTTCATCTACAAAAATATAGTTTTAGTAAATATGAGAGTTTGTAAGTAACACAATAGAGGAACGATTATTTAGTGATTAAAATACTTGACTCTGAATTGTTGGGTTACGAACTCGTGCATTGCTCCACTCAATTTGGTTCGGGCACATTGGCAGCATCACTAATTTTCATACAAGAAATTGTGCCTAAAATTTGAGTTCACAAACTCCTACTTGATTGTTTTTGACAGGATGCAAAATGTTTGCTACTATATTTCCTATACTACTAAGTTGTATTTGTTTTAAGAGCTAGTTAAACTAATATGACTGCTCATGTTATACAGTGGTATATTTAGTTAAATTATAGCATTTTTCCCTCAGTGACGAAAAGATGTTTTTAATAAGTGGTTTTCAATGAAACTGATGTTAAAGAATAGTTAAAAAGCCATTCAATTATGCGAAATTTTGAAACATTGTGTACTTTGTGAATAATATAGATTAGGTTCGATTTATTTATAGGATTATTATTAGGCCTCTATCATTTCAGTTTTTAACGTTGGGTCTTATGCTTCATACAGAATATTCTTCTTATCACAGTATCTTTTCCATCATATCACTAACAATTTTGTTCAGTATTCAATGTTAAGTGGAGCAATCGCTTAGTGGTTAAGGCGTTTAACGTTCGGCCACTGTCTCACATTTGAACTCTTCGCCTACTTCGGTCTAAGCATGGAGGTAGTATCATTGACCCTCACACATAGAGTGTGAGTTGTACCCAAATACCTGGTAAATGAGTTAATTTATTATTTTTTAATGTTTCTTATAACTCTAAATTTCAGCGGTGACACTAATAGTTCGAAATAAAAGTACTTGTGAGGTGACTTTTTAGATTTATTGAAATTGTTTTTAACTTTAGAAATTAAGTTAAAATTTATTTTTTTATATCTTTTAAATATTTCCAGTCAATACGTTGGTATAGCAATTCGTAAGAGTCCGGTAGAAATATGGAAACTATCTACTTCTTCTTTAATAGTTAAACTACCTTTGCTACCGGATATAACAGCTGTTGCTTTGGTAATTCACATTTATGTTTGGAACATTTTAATTAGTCTTGCTGGTATTTTAGGACAATAATTATGTAGTCGATCATAATTCGTTTGTTTACTGATAGAAAATAATATGCCTCAAGTGGCGTTCATTAAGACTCCACTCCCCTCTATTTTTTAAAAAATGATATGTTAATCTGAATCCCTACTTGAGGATTCACTTATCATCGACTTCAAGTATGCAGATGATGTATACAGTTTTTTTATAAAGCGCTGACAAAATTCAGTTTTATAAATCCCACAAGTAGCAATGCAAGATTGTTTACCTGTTGAAATAATCTCTTAGTTCTCTTAGGTGTTTTCATCAATGTGGTATAACTTTCAGTTGTTGACATGCACCTGTTATTTCATTCATTTCACCTTATTTGATTTTGTCAAACAAATTATATCTTTAACACTTACAAAATAGTTCTATTTTTACAATTTAGTCACCGAATGTTGAACATACATCTTTAAGTTTCCAATTACATAGTTTTTTGTCATGTGTTTTGACAAAATTCATGATATTTATTTTATTCATTTCGTTTTTGTAGGACTGGTGTCATTCGCCAACGAAATATCAACGAAGTCGTAAGATTTCAGACAAGAGTTCTAAGTGGGTTCATTATTTAATATAAAAAAGGATTGGTTTTTCTTTTTTTTATTTCAAAAGACTTAGCTGTTATATTAGTAAATAGAAACCTTTAATATTGCATTCAATATACAATTATTAAGTAATATTCGTGATTAATATTTTGTTAAACTGCATCAAAAGAACAATATAAGTGTACCCATTATGGTCAGGTTTAGGGTTAAGGTATTCTCATAATAAAAGACTAATATTTGAACGAAGAATATTCTTTTTGATAAATTCTCTTCAGGTTCTTCAATTATATATATATATATATATATATATATATATATATAATTATATATTATGGCAACTCGAACTGATGTACGTACGTACGAAGTTCTACGTTGTTACTGACTGACTGACTGAATCCGAAAAATGGCCAGGTTAAGGGCAAAGTACATCGTTTAAAGTATGTGAATTTAGGATTGTCAAACAATAACAACTGTCCAGTGCATCCAGGTTTGCGATGGTTGTCAAACTTAGATCAGCTAGTGATCTGAATATAATTAATTTTTTTATGTAATAAAATGACATGGTTATGCATAAAATAAACATGATGAATTGTTATCCATGGTTGGAGGAAATTAGTTTTTAGGTCACTCACTCCCCAAGTAATTAAGGCCTGATTGTTAGACCTAGTTTTTGAGCATCATGTCAGTATATTTAATTGTACAGTTTACTGATTTTCCTTGTCACAGCTTTTTTTTTAAAAACAAAATCTTATTAGGCTATCGGCTGCAGTATACAACAAGAGTAGTAGGGCAAAATGACATAACCGATAAGTACCATAAAGTTGCTAACAAAATGTATTTCGACTGTCTTTCTAAAAGCCACTTTTTAGGGTATGTAGTACAAAGTTGATACATGGTAGACGCGAAAATGTACTTGTTCTTTCGAAGTGTGATTATTTCCCAGTAACATGCAATTGTACGTATGTGATTTTTGTGCAACATTGAAACTTACGGTCACTGAAACACACAAAATAAAAAAAAGTCGGTTACTAGTCGATGTACGACTTTTCTGGTCATTGTATTCTCTTTTTAAAATATTGAATAATTTATTTCATCTATGTTAATAGAAATTCAGTTTATTTAACACTTTGTTTATATTTCTCTCTAAGACTAACGTTAATTGATCAATCTACAATTGCATAGAAATTTGGATCAATTCATTTAGATGATATTTAGTTTAATGATCAGTTTTGATTGCTAAGTATCACCTCTTTCATTGGTTTGAATTATTTTTTTTCTTCTAAGCAGTATATGTACCAGGTTTATTTAGCAATTTTTAGTTACTGCTTATGTATTCATGTGTAAGAAATATAGTTCTAAACGTGTACGTTTGTCTTACACAATATTTATCTTCCCATTCCTTTATTTAAAACATTTTTATTCGTTTTATATCTGTTAATTTAGATCTGAGGACTATGTTCATTCAAAAGAATCTGCTCGTACTCGTGAATCGTGTATTATATGCACTTCGGATGGTAATATTCGCTTGATTGCAGTGAATAATGATTCAGTAGATAGCACTTCAGTTTCAAATACAATGTAAAATACATTATTTACTGATATATACTGTTAACAATGTTATGAATAGCCACTCAAGTTTTTCACTAGGTGTAACATGTGTAATCGCAACCAAAGATACCAATTATTAAATATTATTTAGGGTATTGGTACATAATTGTGTAAACGTCAACATAAGCTATCGTTAGAACAAATAAAATTAAAAAAATGTGAAATTATAGTTTCATAAGTTAAATATCAAAATAAAAGATATAAATAAAATAAATAAAATAATTAGAAAGTGGATTATTAAAGGTATCACTGTATGTAAAAACACAACTAGAATATAGAATAGATGGAATGTGGTTAGCATTAAAATCCAGAACGTACGTTCCGTCCTATTTAGAACCCGTTATTTGGATATACCTGGATCCCGGAGTTGATATTTACTGAGGAACTTACATTTTGTGCCATTCGCTTCAAATGCCATTGCGTTATCCACTTAGCTACTGAGTCCAGATAGCCAATCATAGTAGCCACTCAACAACGCAATAATTCAAAACTATTTCAAATTTAATTAAACAACTAGAATATCATACCACATATATAGTCAGGGAGTATCTTGAAATCGGCGAGTCTTTATAATGTGTTATACGTGGGATTGTGTGTGCTCATGAGGTTGTCTACCATTATCTTATCTCTATAGATTTTATTCTTTATGTCCTTCAAAAAAATTTTGTGAGATAAAACACTACTCAGTAGTTGAATTCATGGATACGTATTTGACTATCAGTTGATTTATCACTAATTTCCAACCGGTGCCATGTTTTTCTAGGTCTTAGTGCCTGTTGAATTCAGTTGATCAAGATGCAGTCTAGTTAACGGTTTAAAAAACGTGATATCGCGTTCACTATGTTGAGATACCAGGTGGTTGGAAACAGAACAGTTTCCTATCGAATAACTCCATTTGCCTAACATTTGACTATATTGTAGGAATTGTCATTATCTCTGTTTAAAAACATTCTAAATATGTACGACAGTTAATTAAACTTTTCGCCTTCTCGAGTTCGTCAATTGTGTGGTATGTTTACTTCACTCTGTCAAAAGTAAACCGTAAATTTGGATTATTTACATCATAGTTAAGTATTCGTTTGGACTGTACAATACATTTCGTTTATTTCAGATACTTTATCGTCCAATTTCTCTACGCCAATTTTTTCTTAATAATACAATTTAATAAAGAACTCAGGGCAGCTCACATTTGCATCTCAGGTGAAGACCGGTGTCAAACAAAGCTGCTTACTCTCTCACATTCTCTTTTATCTAGTGGTTGACTGAATTACATAAAACCCACATTTCAGGGCATGAATGGATTGCAATGGACAGCTCGAAATCAACTAGAAGAGTTGAACTTCGCAGATGACCTGGCCATTCTATCCCATACACACGAACAAATATAGACGAAAACAGCTAGTTTAGCAGTAGCTTCTGAAGTAATAAGCCTCAACATACACAAGGGGAAAACCAAGATCCTCAAATGCAACACGGAGAACAATCCAATCTCACTTGATGGAGAGGCTCTGGGAGATGTGAAATCTTTCATGTACCTGGGAAGTATCATTGATGAACAAGGAGGATCCGATGCAGACGTAGACGTAAAGGCAAGGATCGGCAAAGCAAGAACAACATTCCTAAAGTTAAAGAAAATATAGATCTCGAAACAACTATCAGCCAACATCAAAGTAAGAATATTCAATACGAACATCAAAACAGTTAGTTCTACTGCACGGAGCTGAAGCCTGAAGAACTACTACAGCCATCATCAAAAAGGTATAAGTATTTATAAACAATTGTCTGCGTAAGATACTGAATGTCCATTGACTGGACACCATCAGCAACAGCCGACTATGGGGGAGAACACACCAACTCCCAACTGGGGAAGAAATTAAGAAAAGTTGTTGGAAGTAGGTAAAACAAACATTGAGGAAATCATCAAACTGCATCACGAGGCAAGCTCTGACTTGGAATCCTGAAGGGAAACAGAAAAGAGGAAGGCCAGAGAATACATTGTATCGGGAATTGGAAGTAGAAATGAAAAGGATGAATAACAAGTGGAAAGGATTGCTCAGGACAGGGTTGGATGGAGAGTGTTGTTGGGCGGCCTATGTTCCTCCACGAGGGGTAACAAATGTAAGTAATTAGGTGGGTGCTATGTTTGAAGTGATTACGATACTACCTAAAACCGGCGAAGTAGACGAGTGTCAACAACACGACAATAGGACAAGCCAGGTTATTCCATTGCTCCCCTGCGCCCTAACTAGATGGAGAAAGCCAGATTCAACCAAGGGATATGTATATTCAACAAGCAGTCAGGAGCACGAATGAGCAGACACATAACTCAGGCGTATATCTACTGTACAAAAATGTTCTTGGTAAACTTCACAGAGTAGCGTACTAAAAAAGGAAACGAATCAATGACATTTAAGGTTCTTCCAAGTGGAAACTACAAACTAAAGATAAAGTTGGCACTTTTGGCGCGAAAATGAGAAATTCAAATTTCCAAAATAAAATTACAAAAATGAGATGTTTAGCAAGTAATTTCTGGGGATCTGTCATCTCCAACAAGGGGTAAGTAAGTAAGCAAGCAGAAAACACATCAGTTAATTATTATTTTTTAGTTTCAAATCATTTTACATTTAATGTGGTTTATTATTATTTTAGTTTATCACATAATTGCGAACACATTTTCTACGTTTTTTATTTGTAAAATTATAGTTTAAACGGTCTACCAACTGTTAGTTTAAATCGAATTAATTCAGTTGCTTGGTTCTCTGATTTGGTTGCTTTTGGCACTTTAGATGGTTTTGTAGCTGTTCGAGATTTACATAGTAAAAGAACATTGTTTAGAACAACTTGTTCAAAGTCACAATCAAATTATTTTGATCAAGCCCTTGGTACTTTTAATGAACAATATTTCGACCCAGATATAATGTTGGAAACAAATACTCCTGTTGTACATCCTTCATTGAATGTTCGACGTTTATGTTTTACACCGGGTTTATCGACTTTTACTCGACTTCTTAGTTTGCAGTTTGATTCCGTATGTGTTTGGGAACCAAGACAGGTAAGTTAGTCTACATGGTTTAATTTTCTTATCAGTTCATTATAACATGATTGATAAAATTTAATAAAAACGGACGAAAGAAAGGGTAGGTGAACGTATGAAATTGGGATAATAACTGACAACTACTTGAGTAGAATTAATTGGTAGCGATTTATTTTACAGAGAAAAAGGTGAATAAAGGTAGTGGTGGAAAATATTTTGTTATTGTAGCTTTTATGCTAATATTCTCTATGTCCAAATGGTTTTTTAAAAACCACACCCGTTAGCTGAATAGTCGTTTTAATTCATCACGCAAGAATAAACAATCCAGTTACCTTTTGTAAAGTAACGCGTACCTTGAAACAACTTTATTTTGTGTAGACTTTCAGCTTTCTTTTAATCTCTTAAAAAGCGTTATTTCTGTAGAGCGTCTCCACTGAACTTCGTCTTATTTTCTTTCTTTGTCATCCTGTCATATGTGTGTATGGAGTTGAAATTTCGATTCCTTTTCTTAAAATTGGAATTGTCTTAGTTTTGCTTTCTTAATGTATGGTATATTATTGTGACGGCGACAAACTGTGAACTCATTGCTGTAAAGTAAAACTGAGCGTATCAGTGTTCTTATTTACCCCATATTTTACTAACCAGGTAGACAGTATATATGTATTGATGATATACTTACCAATTAATAATCAAGCATAATCTTCTAATTGAAATTTTGTATTGTCTCCATGTATATTGTAAGCATTTCTGTAGGGTTGAATTATATATTATAACACTCTATGCATGATTTTACGTTTCTTACAGATGCTCCTTTTATGTATGATTGAATTCGGTATATCAGTTCATCATTCCTTAATTTGTGCTGATTGGGTTTCTGTTGTTACTAAATTATCAGATAGAGCTTTGTGTATTCTTTTGGGTGGAGATGGTGCTTTACGACTTGTACAAGCTGGTCAAGCTAATTATGAAATGACAGTTGTTAATTATTCTAATCAGTCAGTAAACCTTGGGAATACAATTACTCGTGGAACTACTTTACAAGATCCGATTTCAAAATTTTACATTCAAAGTCCATTGCCAGATAGACCTGACATTCAAGGTAATTAACCAATATGCTTAAATACTCATGATTTGTTTTTTTAAGAAAAACGATTTCAGACCTTTCATATTGAGTATTTCTAAGTACATTAAAACGCATAATCGTGAAACAAAATTAGTCAATCCTTTGTGACTAAAAACCCTAGAGTTTGCCACACTGTTACATATAGGTTCACATACTAATGTCGAAATCTATGGGTTATCAAACCAATACGTTAGTCGCTTATAAAAACGTAAGTATTATATTGGCAGAAAGTAAGAAAAAAAATTTATAAAGCTCGAAAAGCTATTTTTGGTGAATTAGTTAGTGTGTATTTGTCAAATAATTGGTTTATAATGTTTTTACAATCCTATTTTTTGACTTAGTAGTCGATATTATATCTCTGTATATTCATAAATTACAGTGAATTAACTTATTGCATATATTTCTTCATGTCAAAAATACCTTAGCTGACTCGTTATTTATAGTATGTTTTGCTCTCGCGTTTTAATTACTTACCCACGTGGTTCGTGGGTCTAAATTAGATATACTTCAGATTAGCATTCCTTTGGATTTCTGATTTTCTTTTTGGAGGATTAGGAATATGTGGATTTTGTGTGGAGCTGTTGATGGTTACACGTACGGTATAGGTTTCAGTTAACTCCATTATTTTAGGTGGAAAATAAGACAGTGTTTATATCGATGTTCGCTCAAGTTTTTTAGTCCATGTTACACATGATGTTAAAGCGTATACTTTTCCCGCCTATATGATGTTTATTAAAGGGTTTATATTTTGAATTCCTTGGTTTTTCTCATATTTATAAACCCATACTAACCTTCAATAAGTCATGTGCTTACGTTGCAAGCAAGTACTTAAACTGATAGAATTATTTGTTCATCGACTGTATTTCATAGACCCACTCTTTATGTTTTTACCGTCGATTCTGTAACTAAGCGAATGTTGACTATCTATCAGGTCGTTTACATAGAGACGTAAGAACATAAAATACAATTATGGGCTTCTCGTTCAAGTTGTTACCTGTCACAACGATTTAAAATTACTGTCAACATTATGATGATAGTTATGAAAAATATCAGAGGGGGTTTTTGTGGACATTATAGTAATTTCAGTAGTTGAGATTATGAGGCAATTGAAGCTAGTTATAAAAATTCTGGTTAAAAAGGGAAGGCGATAAAGTTTGTATTAGATTGGGCAGAGTTGTGGGTACGAATGCAACAAACAAATAGCATTATCATTTTTAAAAGTTGTTTTTTTCTCCAAAAGATCACCTCAATAATTACCCTTTTTCTGTATGGCTAACTCATCTACACACGCACTGAACTTGGTAATTACAATTTAAACATAAGTGTATTCATCTATTTCAAAATGATAGGTGAAGGTTTGATAAAATTCTGTATTCACATAATCTAAATTGCATACATTAATCAAGTGTGTGGATATTACAAATAAATATGTTACCTAATGTAACGTTTTACGAAATAGAATCTAGGCAAACTTTGTCCATTTAGTTCTGTTATGTTTTCTTGTCTTTCGAGCTCAGTGTTCTATCTCCATTCGTAAGATCTTAACAATTTAGAGTGGTGAATTAATTCTATGTTTTTTTATAGATAGGTCCAACTGTATCTTGTTTTTTCTTGAAGATTAAACAAGTCTTTGTTATTACAATTAGACTTGAAGTAGTAATATTAGTCTATCTTAACAGTTAAACTAATGACTGATTCATTTCATTGATTTACGTCTGGTTGTTGTTTTTTTTCAGGTTTATCGATTTCAACCATTATGATGAACAAATGTTTACTTTCGAACTAAGAAAGTTTATTTAAGCTTTGCGTAAATTTATTAATAAATTGTAAAATTCAACTCTTCATTTATGTTGTTAAATACATAAACTCGTTTATAAGCATCCCTGAACTTGTTCAATCTTTTTGATAATGAGCATTTATTTAGCTGTCTGAAACACAGTATTATTTTAGACGTTCTTTACATAAGTGTACATCTTAACTTAGTATTTAAGTTGGTTTATTGTTATTAAATTTTGTATGTTTCTGTTCATTTCTATGATAGTTCACTATAAAAAATGGTTGTGACTTTATGGTAATATTGAGGCGACTTAAATAAAACAGAGAAAGACTGTTAGGTTGTAGTCCTAAGCCATCAATAATAAGATTGAAACAACCAATACAAATAAATAGAAATTCACCCCGTTGCACAAACCAGTGGCTATTTGGACTCTAATTAAATAGATAACACTACGGAGTTTGGAGTAAACGGTACTGGATTCGATTCTTGAAGTAAACATCAAATCGGTTACAGGTGTATTCAGCTGATGAATCTCAAACAGGATGAAATGTGCGTTCTGGATTCCATTGTTAGTCACCATCCAACTCCACTTAAAAGGTTCACTAAGAATTTTTGTTTAATTTAAGTTTGTTTACACTTAAAGTTTTACTTTTTCATTTTAGATCCTGTTTTAGTCCCGTCGTTACTTCCATCCATCACTGCCCTAAATATTCGACATCTCTTACAACATCAACCGTGGTGTAAAAAGTCTCAAAATATCCCTTCGATTAAAAATGAGAATTTATTGATTGATATAGCTTCTAGTTCTCAAGCGTTAACATGCGATCGGACTACCATAGCTAATACTGAATCAGACCAAAGCTCTTATTCTAGTAGTGACTGTTCTCTGCTTGCTCCTGGTTTTGCAAAGATTCAGAATTCTGTAAATATATTCCTATATGGCCTCAAAACAAGGTATACTTGTGACCAAATTTTTTCCGCATTTTCATTTTAATAAACTTTCATCTTATGTACATTTATTGCTGGATTAAGTAACACCTGATAATATGGTGATAGGTCGCCTTTTCATAGAATGTTTGATTTCTTCACATATACCATTAGTTGGACACGTTAATTGCTTTAATTACGGCAGCACTTACATGACCTCTGATATGTTGGTTACCGAAAGACCTATGTCACTTGCTACATTTTCTCTCCTGTAGTACGCACCAGATATTCACATATCGACGAACGAGGATACAGCACATAACATCTGTTGATCTTCTGTGCCATTAGTAATACCCAACGTTCAAGATATGTGACGTGAAAGCGTTTTTTTTCAATTGGTGAAGTTCCAGTGGTAGTACTGGACATCAAGGTTTAAATAAACCATTTGATTCCACCATTGATATTTCCTCTTAGTACCTATGAGGTTAACTGGAGTTTATTAGAATGGTTTTCCAAGTCTCAGAATACCTTATTGTGATTAGTCTTTTCTTATGTTACGATACGTAACAATGTTATTTGGAGATTGTTAGTGTATGTTTTCTTTTGGTCTCTAGTTATTACCGTTCTGTGTCCATGCAGAGATTACAATTTGAATTAGTGTCTGCAATCTTTTGGACTTCATGCCCGTCGTCGTTTAGGACTTAACAACAAGTTTTTGTACCTAGTTGAAATAAGATATTTTATTACACTTAGCCTGTCTATAACACAATTATTCTACCAGTGTGTTCTTTTGTGATATAAAGTGACTGATGGCTGCGAAATGTGATATTTTGTGCCAAATCTCTATACGTTACATGTGTTGAGTTTTGCTCCAGTTACAGTGTGTTAAGTTAGAAATTAGCCTACCAATAGGTTTTTATTGAAATTCAAGATTTATGGATACTTAGTTTGTAAGACGTCGATTAAAGTATAAACCATCAACACATGCATTACTTTTTATTATAGAATCATGGAGTGTGACTATTTTCTACCTATATTTTCATTTATTTGTGGTACTAATTGTCTACATTTTTCAATTGACTTGAAGTATGATGGACCTTGTGATTTTGTTTGGAAAAGGCATACAAGATTTAGTGATTTGTAGACATATTGTAAAGAAGTATAAAAATATTTCTGGTGTGATGAGCAAGAATTATGTAGAGTTTGAACTTGCCTACTAGTTGAGTCGTTTTGTTCTTATCAACTAATGTGGCTTTTGATTTCAACATTGTAAGTATACCGTAACGATGATAAACAGTGTGTCACTTAGATCAAAACTGTTTAGTAAATTGAACATCATACAAATTTTTTCTTAACAATATCTCACACCAGTTTCTTTGTCCACTTACATTGTAGACATGAATTATCTACCAGTTTTATGAACCTGTCAAATACTACCATTATTGAACGTTGTTTATGGACTGCTCAATTATTTGGCGATGTATATGAAGTAAAATTTTGGCGATTGGTTGCAAATCGTTTACTATACAAAAAAGCTTTACATCACAATCCACAACAATTAAATAACCAGTTATGGTCTCGGTATTTTTTAGATTTATCTTGGGATTTTTTAGCTGATTGTGATTTATATCGTCAGAATGTTGAAAAGTTTATATCATATATGGAAAAGTCGCATAATTCACCTACTGAAATTATGGATTGTGTTAATACACTGATTATGGTCGGTAAGTATTAATTTGACTAAGGTTTCGGTTTCAGTAAACGTGGCAGCATAGATAGGTTTAGCGAAGTGTTTAGAGGTTTAGCTTATTGCCAGTAGTTGTCAGTTACACATTGATAATTGCTACTATAAGAATATATTTATTATATTGTACCGAATCGTTATTTCCCTATTTTCACACTTACTGATCTACTATTTGACAACAGTAACTTGCTAGGTTTGAGAACGCATTGTCCATCAAAGTCTACTATCGCTCTGTCCACATGACGGTTATTAGGAATTCCTTACATCTTTATTATTGTCGTTGGGATTTATTCTCTACCTATTATCCAGACAAAACGGGGTGTCGTAAGAGTCTTACTCATCTTTCCTTGATTCTACATGTTCGCAATTTGGTTTCTATGTTACTCAATATTTTTAAAGTTACCACTGTCCTCATCGCATAAGTTCTGTAGGAAGCCGCCTCTGCGTGGGAAAAGCAGACTAACAACATTTAGGGACGATTGCATTTCTAATATTTATTAGTTACATCAGTATGTACTGCCAACAGACTTAAAGTGGTAAATTGACAACCATGTCCTATCTCTGCTGTACGGTCGAGTTTTACGAATTTTGGTCTAATTTAATCTCCGTTTACTACAGTAGGTGCCTCATCCCCCAAATGCCGTGGTACGGCCGAGAGTGGGGGAGTCCGCTCTCCCTCTCGAAATGCTCTCACATGGCCACGCGTATATAACCTCTGCCAGGGAAGTCCTACTCACTGCCTTCTCGTAGTGGGGGTGTTGTTTACGAAATTGAGAGGACGAAAAGCGAATATCCGGCGCCTTAACCAGATCCACCACCAGTTATCTGTTCTTCTCCAGAAAGTGCGTTCGACAGATATTGTACTACTAGCCGGAGACTTGAATGCTCAGGCCAGGCGTCTAGGCACAGAAGAGAGTCGTTTAGGTGGCCGATGGGGACTTGTTGGTCGCAGGTCAGATAAAGGTGACCATATACTGCAACTGTGCGAAAACTACAATCTGCTTTCGGCTAGCACTAACTACCGAAACAGTCATCGCCGATGTGCCACCTGGCGTCCTCCCTCTGCATCTCAAGCCTGAATTCAGGTTGGTCACATCGCGATCAGCTATCGCTGGCGTGGTTGTGTGCAAGACTGCCGCTCCTTTTGGAGTACCTATCTGGACTCTGACCATGCCTTGGTCTGCGCCAATCTTACCTTATTTTTCATTGGCCAACAAAGTGACCGCCATCAACGGATTGATATTAGCAAGCTGGTAGCAACTTCTGTTGCAAGTTAGTATCGAACCGAGCTAGCCTCTAGGCTAGCTACCACTCCACCGAAAAGTATAGATGAGCATTGGTTGCAATTGCATGACGCCATGAAAATGGCGAGTACAGTCAGTTATGGGTTCGCGAAACGTCCTGCTTATAAGCACTTGATTTCTGCAGGTTCCTTACAACTCATTGAAGCCCGTCGGTCTACTCCAGGTGACCGTGAGTCTGACCACAAACGAAGGCCGTTACGTAATGAAATCGGGCAAAGCTTGCGTAAGGACCGAGAAGCCTGGTGGTCGGAGCGTGCTAATAAGTTGGAGGCAGCAGCCGAATCTGGTAACTACCGGAAGCTCTTCCAACTCATCCGAGCCACTGGCAGCAAGAAGTCTGGTGTGAGCGAAACAATCTGCGAGGATGACGGAACGCCAATCACTAATACCCATCGACGTCTTGGACGATGGGCAGAATTCTTCGAAGGGCAGTTCAACTGGCCTGCTGCTCCGGCAACATCGGTCAGACTGTCCTGCCCTCCATGACCAGTGATGGCTGATCCACCAAATGAGGCGGAAGTCCGCAAGGAACTCCAACTCTTGAAGCGTTACAAATCACCTGGCCCAGATGACTTACCTCCGGCTCTTTTTAAAGATGGTGGTGACTTTCTGACTAAGGAACTGACGATGTTGTTTACAAAGATTTGGGAACTAGAGAGTGTACCAACGTCATGGAATGAGTCGATAGTTGTCCCCATCTTTAAAAAGGGTTCACGTCGTTCCTGTAACAACTATCGGGGGATAAGTCTACTTCCGATTGTGTCCAAGCTGTTGGCTTCCGTCATACTTCGTAGGTTGTTCAAAACCCGAGAAAGATTGACTCGCGAGGAGCAGGCTGGGTTTCGTTCTGGTAGAGGATGTATTGATCATATCTTCACCCTCCACCAAATGTTAGAACACCGCCATACTTATCAAAGGCCAACAATCGTAGTGTTTCTTGACATCAGGGCTGCCTTCGATTCGTTGGACAGGACTGTTCTCTGGGATTGTCTATTGAATAAGGGTGTGCCTGAGAAGTTTATTAACATCCTAAAAGCCCTATATACAAACACGTCAGGCAGAGTGAGGGCATACAACCACCTCTCTCCATTTTTCCATTCGAACAGTGGGGTTAGACAGGGTTGCCCAATCTCACCATTCTGGAAACAGCTCTGATGAATGTAAGTAATGGTGGTGTGGATCTGTTGCCTGGAGAAAGACTTCTCGACCTTGAGTATGCGGACGATATTGTCTTACTGTGCGATAATGCCCAAGGCATGCAATCCGCACTTAATCAGTTGGCAATCAGTGTCCGTAGGTATGGTATGTGCTTTGCACCTTCGAAGTGCAAAGTACTTCTACAAGACTGACAGGATTCTAATCCTGTACTCACTCTGGATGATGAGCAGATAGAAGTAGTCGAGAAGTTCGTGTATCTGGGTAGCTGCATAAGTGCTGGTGGGGGTGTGAGTGATGAGATCAATGCACGAATAGTGAAAGCCAGAGCGGCTTATGCCAATCTGGGCCACCTTTGGCGCCTTCGTGATGTTAGTCTGGCTGTAAAAGGTCGGGTCTACAACGCGTCGGTGAGAGCAGTTTTGCTCTATGCTTGTGAAACCTGGCCTCTCCGAGTTGAGGACGTTAGACGACTCTCTGTGTTCGATCATCGCTGTCTCCGAAGGATTGCTGACATTCAGTGGCAACACCACGTCAGTAATGCAGAGGTTCGGCATCGTGTGTTCGGGCACAGAGATGATAACTCAATTGGTGTCACCATCTTGAAACACCGACTTCGGTGGCTTGGACATGTTCTTCGAATGTCGCCCCAGAGAATTCCACATCGTGCATTATTTGCCGACTCTGGGACTGGTTGGAAGAAGCGGAGAGGTGGTCAGTGCATGACATGGTGTCGTGGCATGAAAGAAAGCTGCAAAGGACTGACGTGTATTGGTTCTTCACGACTCCCTGGTTGGGGTCTGAGAGATGGTGCTACACAGTGGCTAGAGACGTTATCAGATATGGCTCAGAATAGAAGCCAGTGGCGATCCTGCTGTAACCTTCTTTTACTTTCTTCATAAACAGTGGTTGTGTCTCCCTTACCTAAAAGATTTCTCCTGATTGTACCTCTCCGTTCCCTCATTACTACCGCACTACCTTACACCAATCTCTTCGTCATTGTTCTCTTTTTTTTGCGCTCCTTAGGTTTTTTTTTTCTATTTCTCTTCGAATTCTCATTGTTTTGTGTGGCGCATATATATTGGCGCTCTCTTGTACCAATATTCATGTGTTCAAATAAATAAATAATAAATAAAATTGCTGAGTCCAGATAGCCACTGGTTTGTGCAACGGGGTGAATTTCTATTTATTTGTATTGGTTGTTTGGATCTTCCCGACTGCAATTAATCAGGGTTATGATTGTCGAATTTCATTGATATCTCAAACCGATTTAAGTTAGACAATCAATAAAATTCTGAAAACACAGGGTGAACATTTCGTGCTAGTATGTGAGTCTTCGAAATCGCACTTCCACGACCCCTGTAACTTCATGATGTTTAATCACCAAAATTGCTCATTGGATAGTCTGCAGTCAACATCTTAGCCTGAAATGGCTCGATGAACGTCACTCTAGATTGATTATTCTACCATGACCATAAACTCGCTCGTTCAATCCTGATGGAAATATAGTTTAGCTTTATCAGTCTTGCTTTTTAAAAACCAAACTATTAATTATTATAATTATAATATGAGTTATCTGCAATTTTATTATGATTGAAGTAACAATAATTAACTAATTTTAATTTAGGTCAACAGGACCGTGCAGTTTCTTTACTACTGGAAACACCTGCAGATTCAAGTAATTATTCTATAAATATGTATCGTGCTTGTTTGTTTACGGCAAATATTGCTAGAAAATCTCTTCTGTCCGAGTCTAGCGTAAACCAACCAGCAGAAGATAATTATTTAAGTGTAATAAAATTAGTTGCTACAAATTTACTTTCTAATGGAAAAATTAATGATGGTATTGGTTTATTGTGTCTTATTGGCTTACAAGTTGATGCATGCCGTTACTTAGAATCGTTCGATCGATGGGATCGTTCTGTATGGTTAGCTAAGGTAGTTATTTTATATATTTGATCATTTTCGACCGTATAATATTGACAGTTAATTTTATTGATACAATAATTCCTTCTGATGATAATTTCTGTCACAAACTTTTAATGTATTAACAATAAGAGGAGAATATTTTCCTACACTAACTTAAAAGTACTGAATACTGTCTTAGAAAACTGATCTAAATGAAGTTAGGTGATAAGTCTTTCATTAAAACAAATGTTTTGTGCCTCTAACACATACTAACCAATAATAAATCCGCTAATTTTAGCATTGTAATACGTTAACTCTTGACAGGATATGCAACATTCTCCAGAACATTCGTCAGAACATCGGAAAAATTATTATTAGACGAGACTAGAATTTATGGATGAACAAATCAGATTTAAGATAAATGATCTTGGATTTTGGAGCAAAATTCATTAACTCATTTGGCTAAATACCATTTTGGCATTCTAGCTAATGTTAATTCATGATGAAAACATTAAATTTAATTCATAACCCTAACATTCAACTACAAATTCTAATCCTAATTCCTCACACCAATATATAACCCTCATTTAACCCTGGTAAGTGTACATCCCAAGGTCATTTTAGTGTTGTTCAAAGGTCCTCCATAAATTGTGATCTTACCTACAACTACTAATAAATGACGAATTTCAACAAACAAACAAACAAACAATGTTTGTAATATAAAATCTAAACAAATAGATTTATAATTAACTGTAATTTCTAAATATCAAGATATATTGTAACAGTTAATAAGTCAAATGTAATGGGAATATTATGAATTAGTTATTTAATAAATACACCATTAAAAACTATATACTAAGTGATATCTATTGAAAAATAACTTTCAAAAAGTTTCACATTTTTACTAATTTCTTTGTTCCTTAACAAAATACCTATACATGAACTCTGATTCTTTCTTGTTTTTTGTTTTTTTTTCGTTGACATTATTTAGTATTGATAACTATGTCCGAATGTTTGCCTTAGATTACGTTTTCTATTCCTGGCTATTATTTCATCTAGTTCATATTATTATACACTAAGTTATACGTTTTATTGTAAAGAGTTATTGAATTAATAAGATGAAAATCAATTTTTTATAGATTCTGAAATGGATAGTGGGTATTTTGTTCGAGTCCAGTTGCGATAGCTCACTTAATGTCATTGTCTTAAAATATTGGGCTCGGTGGATTGAACATGTATTATGAATATCATCATAATAGCTTTTACTTAGCGCGTTGATTCACGACTTTAGGACTGGGTGGAAAAAGGAAAGAGGTGGAGAGTTTATGAAATGGCACTGGGATATGATAGAAAGCTGTGTAAGTCTTGTGTCTGTTAATTCATCACCACTCTCTGGCTGAGATCCTAGAGATGAGGAAACTCAGCAGTGATTTCATCGTAGTTCTTTTTACAATCAAAAATATTTCTTATAGTTTTGTTTCCAACTGAACTATATCTCCTATCATGTATCGTTCTCGTTCACTGATCTATTTGGTTGTACACCCTTCTCCTTCCCTATTCGTCCACAATCTTATCGTCGTATTTGGGTGCCACTTTTCTGTTGTTGGCACCCAGTTGTACCAGAAGATATGTATATTGAATAAAATAGAATACTATATTTATTACTTGCTTATCACTAGACTATCATGTTTTAATTATCATGTTCCTTTTTTAGTGTCCGTCATCATTTACTGTTCTCACTTCCGCCTGTTTTTTTTCAGTGTACATTATCAATTGAAGAACATGATAAAGTAATGAGACGTTGGGCGTCCTATTTAGCTTCATCTCAGGTTAATCGAAAAGTATGTCCAGATTGGTTTTCAATTATTCATTTTCATTGAAATGTACCTTGACAATTATGTATTTCAATGTGGCACGTCTATCTAGGGTGTTCCAATTATTTACTCATGTTTAGTTAATTTTCCCTTCTGTTTATTATATTTGAGTATCGGAAATTAGTTGTTTTCACTAAAACACTTTTTCAACTGTTTGTTTTCTCCGGATATTCAAATATTTGTTCTCATATTTTAATATAGGACGATAAACAAAACAGCACGTGCCTATACATCATTATCTTTTCCTAATATTTGCTTCAGTAGAATTACAAGTATTATAAATGTATGTTGGTGATAGTTAACTCGGAATGTTGAAACACTAGATAACTTATTTGGTATTAGCATAATATATACGTAAATACTTTAGATTCTACATGTTTGCTTGTGTATATCAAACATTCCTCTCCAGGACTACATTTCCCCCCATTTGTATTCACAGTTTGGAAGTACTAATTGATCAAATACAATATTCATTTCATTATTCTTATTTTTTCCTACTTATATCGCTTAATATTGGTCTTCTACGTTTTCAATAAGGGACTGTATGCTCGTATAGCTGAATCAAGCTCTAAGTTGTATGAATCATTATAAGTGTAACTAAACTTGGAAAATATACGTCTTATACTATTAAAATTAAGTAAATATCACCTTCGTCTATTTATATTTCATTGATAATCACCAACATAGAGTTATGATGATGCGTAGTAATGTAGTATACGCTCTTTGTTTACTTCCTCTAACTACTCGGAGTTATTTCAAAAGAAAACAAACAAATTACTGTCACTTCATATGTATGTTTAATTGTTATTTACGTGTCGTAAATAGTGTTTTTATCTGCTAGTAAATCATTAATAAAACTTGATTGACAGTTATTATTCACGAATTATTTCGTCATCATTATATTCGCTCATCACCTTCATGATTCTTAATTGGTTGATTTTTCATGCAATAGTTTACTGCTTATTCATCGGTTGAAGGATGACTGAATGTCAAGAGATACTTCTTGCTTTTATCTATTAAGAATCACATTTTTAAAATCTAATCTTGAGTCTATATCTTTAGAATTCTTTTGTGTACTTTACAACCATAATCTTTTCTGTAAGTAGAGTCTCCTTTTAAATTTGTAACTGTAACTAATGATTTGAAAAAATTACGATGATTATTACAAGCACTTCTTTTAGATTTTCAACTTCAATATTCCAAGTGGTCAACATCAGTTCAACACTTAAATGTTTTTACTCTGAACCTTTTGCATCTTCGCCTGTGTAACACGAATATAAATACAATCTCCTACTCAATATCAATAATCATTGCAATCATAAGTTATACTACATGTTTCTTACTATCACGCTCCAATCTTATTGCACTGTTACAAATCACTGTGATTTAGGTCAATCTATATCTATTAGCTATCTGTAATCTATAGTCCATTGAACAAAATTGTTATGATTATAATAATTACCTTTCTATAACTTACTGTTTATATTTTCAATGTTTATAGTAACAATAATATGACTATTTTGTTTTCTCTTTCTTTCCTCTTTTTTTAAAAACATCTTAAAGGATTTAGCTATACTCATTTATGTTTATTTAGAAGATCATTCTAATGTCTTAAAGTTACTTTTTAATCTTAAACAATATCAGTTAGCAGCTAGATACCTGGAAGCATGCCGTGAATTAAGCTTATTGAATACAACTAAAGAAACAGGTAAGTATTTTGTCTTTTTTGTTTTAATAAATTGGGATTATTATTATTCTCTCTCATATAGAGACTTCGTTTAAAAATCTTTTCTTATTTGTTTGGTGCATGTGTAATCAAGGCATTAAGCTTGTGATGAACAGTGTTTGTTGATAAAAATAACATCCAGTTGTTTAAATTTCACTTAATCAATTAACAATGAAATTCTAAACTTGTATTATTCAATTCAAATGATAAATGGTAAGAATATGTATTATATATTTTAAATCTGTACACATAGTTGGTGTAAGTTATAAACCTTTTAATCTGTCTAATCAATTACATAACTTCTTACTTAGCTTGAAAAGTATGAAGATATAGCGACTCACGTGCAATTGGGTTTATTCTCATTTAACTCAGTTAAGCCCTTTTGCTAACTTATTTAGCGGACAAAGTCATCCGCACTATAACAATTTATTGTACCCTTATTATTATTTTGTGCTTGTATGAAATACGCATGCTTGAATATTGCTTACGGCCTACGCATTTATTCGCTCTGCTAGTCTTACTACTAACTGCTTATTTGATTCGATTACTCATTCATTTCACATGGTATATATATGTCCATGTTATTCATATTCAACTCTCACTCATTCCACGCTCTCGTCTCGCTCTTGCTCTGGCTCTCGTTCGCTTGCTTGCCTTTCGGCACAACTCTTCTATACTTGTTTAACGCATCTGTACATTTGGATATATGTGTGTGGTCTCGTAATAAACGTAATCAACACTTCGTATTTGCCTTCTGATTAATATACCGTTGGGACGTTATATAGAACGGTTATCAAGACGAACTGTATGCGAAGTTTAAGGATCATATCGAATACCGACCACCACAAAGACTTTAATTTGATGAATCGTTATACCACTGCATTCGCCTGTTTAATACTAGTTTTCGTTTTATTTTTATTTAAGAGAGGAGAAATTCAAGATCGTTTATGTGTTGTAAAACATTTCATATTGTTCTATATATTAAACTGTGTAATCTGATCTATTTTAGCATGTTTCGATAGATTAATATTTGACATTAATTTTGATCTTCTTGTTATCAAAGTGAAGTTGTTTTATTAGAATGATTTTTGAATCACTATGTTAAAGAAAATAGTTAGTATCCTAAAAGCACGACAAAGCTGCCAGAGAATCTAAGGGATTCCGTCAAATCAGCACCCAATGGAACCTTCTGGGATATCAACGTGGCATACTAAGATTGAACAGTAGCATAACTTACCTCTTTTCGGATTGGTTGAATTGTGATGATGTTATAAACGCTAATGTCTATAAATACCCATGATTTTTTGTACATTTTGATTCTTATCCAGTAAACACTTCTTCAGCCTTCTGTCTTCTAATTTTGAGACTGGGGTTCTAAACTTTCGAGTGCCGTAGTTGTATACCGTATTCTGCGTTAATCAAGTGGTGAACATAACAAAGTATAAAATAAGTTATGATTTTCAGTACATTATGCTGATATCATGAACTATGTTCGCATTTTTTGATATTCACTAGTGTGAAAGGATTCTAACTGTGGAAATCAGCACAAAATTGATTTTGATTTAAGAGTTTATATATGTATATAATTATGATACTATAATTTTCAGATTTGCCAATATCATATTTATTACATAATTAACATTTTATAAGTCACAATATTTACCATAATAAATTCATAGTAAGAATAATTCTGTAATGATTAATATTTCGGTTACATTTTTTTAAAATACAGAATCATTTTACGAGTCAATATTTTTGGAATTCGGTTCATTTCTAATAAAACTTGGTCATCATGAAGCTGCTATGTATTATTGTAATTTAGCTGGAAAAATGGCTGATTCATTAAAAGAAGAAATAGATTTTCTTTTGTCGTAGAATAAACTTTAAACTGACAATAACATTCATCATCATTTTTGAACTTCATGATGATGATAAGAAACCAAACAATTTTTTTCCATTTTCTTTACCTCATATTTACTTTTCTGTTTATTCCTCATTTATTTTAACCAAAAATACGAGTGGATATTGTTGACTGTGATAGATAGAACAATATATATAATAAATTATTTGACTTGACTAATATTATATTCCGTTTAGCACCTTTTTTTGTATTTTTTTTTACTTGCCAGTATATATGTATGTGTGTGCGGATAAAACTATTTTTCACTTTTTTTTGTATTTCTGTTTTTTTTTTCAAAAAGTGTATTCTCAACTTTCCTGCCAACATTTCAATTTTGTTGTTTTGAATTTTGTTTGTATCGTTGTTTTTCTTCTGTTTTCTATTTGTTTATATATTTTAAAAGAGAAAGAGGAAATAATCATTTCTACGTGTGATTTTCGTTAGTATTCTTTTTTCAACTTTTTGTATTCAATTTATCGATATAACTGTTATCGTATGAAGTGTGACGTCGAACACCACAAGTTGTTTGAAGTTAAACACGTAGACCGTCGGTTGTTGTCTCAGTAGTTTAAAGATTAAGCACTCCCTGCCAATTTTGATGATTGTAGTTTCGACCCTCTAAGGAGTTTTTAGATGCGCACTATTTTTAAGGAGTCTCATATTGGACAAATCAGCTGTCCACTACTTCCTAGTTCTGTGTTCTTGTCTTACTTAAGCCGGTTCTTATTTCCAATAAACTTTTGGATTATTTTTTTTCTCATTCCCATCGTTAGTTATGATTTGTATTTCTATTCAAGTTCGATACTAGATGACAGCATGAACCATACATTTTTCAATCGTCTAATAAATTTCTCACATTCTATGATCATGATATTAACAGTTAGGGACTGAGATTAATCAAAACGGTTTTGAGGAACTTAATTTATCGCCCAATCAGCAACAAAAGTGGTTGAAATTATACTCAATGAAATCTCGTTCTGTCCATAGTTGAGTTGAGTGTTTTATTATTTCGTTCTTTTTTAATAATATAAGGATGCAAATTCTACTGATATCAACTAACATTACTAAATTTGTCAAAGTGAATTGTTATCATGTTTAGTCATGTCGTGTAGATCTAGTTTGGGCTTTGAACTGAAGACAGAGGTTTTATTTTTTAGTTGATCTTTGAATTGCTAGAGTTAGATGTATAAACCACTTGGTGATGACATTTTTTGTATTTTCACAGCATCGGTTTCGTTGATCTAAATGTTGACATTAAGTGTTTGATATGAAGTAAGCAAATATTTTAATTATTTGTGGATTTATTTATTATTAGAGCTTTCGTTACCTCAAATAGTTTCAATACTTGTTGCTTGTAAGATATTTTTCCAGTGAAATACGAATTTGCGAAACTGATTGGTTTTTTATCATCACCTTACTTACTTACTTACGCCTGTTACTCCCAATGGAGCATAGGCCGCCGACCAGCATTCTCCAACCCACTCTATCCTGGGCCTTCTTTTATAGTTCCATCCAATTCTTGTTCATTTTTCTCATGTCTATCTCCATTTCCCGGCGTAATGTGTTCTTTGATCTTCCTCTTTTCCTTTGACCTTCAGGATTCCATGTGAGGGCTTGTCTTGTGACGCAGTTCGGTTCTTTCCTCAATGTGTGTCCTATCCACTTCCAGCGCTTCTTCCTCCGCTGGGATCTGGTTTGTTCTCTCCCACAGTACGTTGTTGCTAATAGTGTCCGGCCAATGGATCTGAAGTATTTTGCGTAGACAATTGTTGATAAACACCTGTATTTTCTGGATGATGGCTTTTGTAGTTCTGCATCTTAGATGTCCTTTGTATCCCGCGCTTTCCTTCAGACGTTGACGTCTTCATGATCCAGTCGATCACCAGGAGAAAGAGAAAGGGTGGGAGTAAGCGACCTTGCCTAACACCGGTCTTCACTTTGAACGACTTTGTCAACTGTCCTCCATGCACGATTTTGCAGTGTATGTATGATATTGACTATTTTCTGAGGCACGCCGTAGTGTCGAAGAAGTTTCCATAGTGTTGTTCTGTCCACGCTATCAAATGCCTTTTCGTAGTCAATGAAGTTGATGTAGAGTGATGAATTCCATTCAATTGATTGTTCCACAATGATCCGTAGAGTTGCGATTTGGTCTGTACACGATCTATCCTTACGGAGTCCTGCCTGTTGGTCACGAAGTTGGGCGTCTACGCAGTCCTTCATCCTGTTTAACAATACCCTGTTGAAGACTTTTCCCGGTATTGAGAGAAGAGTGATGCCCCTGTAGTTATCACAGTTGCTGAGATCGCCTTTCTTCGGTATTTTGATCAGTAGTCCTGCTTTCCAGTCTGTTGGTACTTGTTCCTCATCCCAAATCTTATTGAAGAGAATGTGGAGTATCCTTGCAGTTGCCGCTACGTCTGCTTTTAGTGCCTCTGCTGGGATGTTGTCCGGTCCTGCTGCTTTGCCACTCTTGATTTGTCTGATGGCCATGCTGATTTCTTCAATTGTTGGTGGGCCAACATTGATTGGGAGGTCCGTGGGTGCTGCTTCGATGTTGGGTGGGTTCAGTGGAGCTGGTCGATTCAAGAGTTCTTTGAAGTGTTCTACCCACCTGTTTTGTTGCTCTTCAATGTTGGTGATTACCTTGATTTCCTTGCTTTTCACTGGTCGTTCTGGTTTTCGGTGATTTCCAGAGAGTTTCTTTGTCGTGTCATACAATTGTCCCATGTTTCCTTCTCTTGCAGCCTTTTCCGCCGTCGTTGCTAAATCTTCCACATATTTACGTTTGTCGGTTCTGATGCTCCTCTTCACTTGTTTGTTTATTTCCGTGTATTCAGCTTGTGCCTTGGCTTTTTCTGCTCTTGTTCGGCTGGTATTGATCGCTGCCTTCTTGTTCCTCCTTTCTAGAATCTTATCCAGTGTATCATTAGTGATCCATTCCTTGTGATGGTGCTTCTTGTGACCCAGGACCTCATGACATGTTGAAGTGATTGCCTCTTTGATCCCCTTCCAGTTGCATCATCATCTTACATAGAAAAATATCTCTAGTACGTCTCAGAAACGTAGATTTTATTAAAGGATCTAATTTCCGTAATTGATACTTTATCTATGATCTTTGTCTTTATTTGGTGTGGTCGTTACGAATGCACACCGAAGATCAAACTAGTGATTATTCTCAGAACTTTTGGGTACATTCAGACCACTAAGTTGGCATTCAGCAGTTTACATTACTAGCTTCAATTGATCCTATATATTAATCAGCCAATGTCATCGGTAGGTAACTGCATATTAGTGCAACCTGGTTAACAATAGTTGTTTAAATAGGTTCACTGCATGATGTGAAATACGAAATTCTACAATCTCCACAAATCCCTTATGTAAGTTCGAGTTTATGAAACTGCATCATCATTGACGCCTACACTCTGGGTCATATTTTTAGTTCTTTGCGTTATGCTACTTTTCATTAAATAGTAGTTTGAAATGTAGTCAATCATTTACTTAGTCTTTTCCGCAACTAGTGTTATCTCAGGATTACAACGAATCAATTTTTCATGTGTTAGTGTTTTTATTGAAAGATCTATCTGTTTCCTGAGGGTAGTGCCTAGTTTATTTTCGTTAATTATATTCTTGTTTGAAATGGAGCTGTGACTGGTGATTAGTTGTAAATGCTGTGAAGTTTTTCAACCTGAACTATTCATTGACTGTGTTTCGGATCTAAGCATCTTTCAAAATTAAGAAGTAAGTTACAACGAATTTTATCCAATGTTATTTTCTAGAATATAAGATAATGAAATCATGCTTTGTTAGCTAACCTCCCAGATAATGTTTAGAATAAGATATAAAAGTGAACAAACAGCGTTAAAAGAAATTTAACAACAGTTTATACATTCGCTTACTATCCTATCCAAATAAGTTTTTCGGTTAGTTAAGATAACTATAATCTGTACATACATTCAAGTCATAGTTGACTTAGATCCGGTGGAATAGATTTTTATCCCATTTAATTCATTACAATAGAGACAGTGTAAATTGTAATGACATATAAAGTATATTACAAAAACTTGTACATTTATTGAATTGTATTATTATCATAACTGTTTATTTGCTTACGTTTTATTGTTTAGAAGTGAATACTATTTATATCCCTGATTTCATCAACACACTGTTGTCCAGTCTATGAAATATTTGAGAAATCAAATGATGCATAACTTATAAGTGTCAAAACATTGTTTGTTCTTTGATTTGACTGTATATTATACAGATCATTTAGACTTCTATGGTTAAGTATAAATATTTAGGTAAATTATAAATAGTTCGGTTTTATGATTTTGAAAAAGCAAATCTAATTAAAGAACTGATAAGAATTCGAATAGATAAATAGTATTGACAGTTAAAGAAAAAAGAAAATATTGATGGGTGGCCAACTGTTGGCTATCAATCTCCTATACAATGTGAAGCGATGCATAAACATTTTAACAGTTTAAATTTACATTTGTCATAAATTGTCATGTTTCATTTTATGTCAATATACTGATATTTAGTATAAGAAAGTTAACTTATTGACTATAAAAATGTACACTTATTTTGGTTTTTGTGTTTATAAGATTAATTCATAATGAATTGAAAAAGAAATACAACTTTTGTGTTATGTTTTATTACTGATTAAAGTGAAGTCTTGTTAGTATTCAGAAAATCCACTCCATTATTCTGTAGCCTTCGTTTTGAAATTGATTTGAACCGTTGTGCACATTTATTGACTTTTATTACTTCCCTAAATATTTGTATTCTGGATACATCTTTCCAAGTTCAAAGCATCATGCATAGGCGATGTACATCTGTGCGAATGAATTTATTAAATGTCATTGAAAAGTCTAATCTATTGGTCACCATCTAGTACTTGAGTTTCGGAAGCATTTTTGTTAATTACTCAACTATTGTTTAATTAAAATATAGTTATGATAAAACATTTTACCGACTCGTAAATGTGAAGTCGATGATCTTTTATGGTTACTTTAAATTGATCAATAAATTACTTGATTTTATTATTTCATAATTATGAGCCTCTTCTCTAATCTTCTAAACGTTATCTAAGTTTTAAATAAGCATTAAAAACTTGACCTATTCAAGTGAGATATAATGGTCAACATTGAAAGCTGTAGCTCACCAATAAATGATAGAACTGTGTTTAAATCTAGAAAGTATCCATCACTCAACAATTTAGATCTAAGTTCTTATCAATATTAATAGGTTAATTAAAAGGATTTTAGACTGATGCTCTAACATTTAATGAAGTAGTCTTGAAACATTTCGAGTTCCATGAAGTTCATTGATTTTAATCAAATCAAAATGGTTTAAAATACAATAGGCTTACTATTAAGTTTGTTGTTTCATGAATAGTTTTTTCAAAACTATCTATGCTAATCTAGAT